GAAGGGGGTGAAGGGCACCACATATGACAGGATTGCTGACTACATATTTCGCAAGGAGAGCTATTGGAGGGATAATTGGCTACATGTGGTGTTTCCTCGCGTACCTTCAACACCTGGGGGTGTACTCTTCGACTTTGATGGGTGTAACCCCAAGCCCCTCAGTGAGTCTCGCAGCAAGGAGAAGAGGCGGAAGGACAACCGGATTAGGAGGGAGATAGCCAGATCCGGGGTCCCGATCACTACATGCGTACAGAGATCTGAGACGGACGAGTCCGACCAGGAGCCCTGCTGCGTGAGCGACGTTGATCTTGGCGACTACTTCGACTGGGACACTCACAGGGACTGATTCTGTGGACAGTAGCAGGAGCATTGAAGACCGGTGAGCGTAGACGACGGAGAGCGACATTGAGGAGGATTGCATATCTTCTTGCACGATATCTGCTCGAGGGCGACTGATTTCTACATGTCATACGACCCTAGGACCGACGGGGTTATTGGTCCCCCAAGAGGGGAAGGTCCGGTCCCATATCTTGGAGATGGCTATAGTTATTTGGTCGGGGCTGACTTTGCTATGCAGGCTTTTCAGAAGCCTCTTTACGGAGATCGTTTCCTCGAGGTTTCTTACATTTACGCTGATAGGAGAGGACGGATTGAGATATTGATTGGAGCTACAGGCAATATCACACTCGCAGAGGAGCTTTATCTCAGGAGCGTTGTAGACGAGGAGATGGCGAGATGCATGGCCTATATCTGCAAGATTGATCCAGCAGCGCCTCTTGATATCAGCTATGTGCTTCCAGAGTCGATAGCCACACGGGTTCTCAATGACGAGGGGGACCAGCGGGTACCAGATATGGAGTACAAGACAGCAGCACTTACTCACAAGGGGGTACCACTTATCATCATTGATTGGGGTTCTTTCTTTTTAGTCACTATGATGTATCACGACATTATTATTATTTATTGGTGACTGCAGCCCTCCGATGGCTGCTCCCTACATACATTGTGTACTACTCTTCAGTCTCGTATCTCTGGTCATGCTCTTGCAGAGTCTGGTTTCTGGTCTTCTCATTCTGTCAATGTCAACTGCTCTATGATGTATGTATGTTATTTTCCTCCTTATGATATACAGGTTACACTCAAGGCAGCTTGAAGGACTCCTGGATGATAGGGACTCTGGTGACCTTGAATCTAACCTTTATATGGGGTCTGGTGCAGGCGATAAACCCGAACGCCTCACTCTAAGCCGTGTCGCCGCTGGCAGGAGAGATAACCCTGACTACTCGGCTGTATGACTAAGTGTGACAAAGACTGCCTCTGAATACACCTTTATTCTATACCTATCAAAATCCTGCGTGACAGTCTGTCAGTCCACCAACCCACTAAGCTCGGTCCGGGGAAGAACATCTAACCACACCCTTGAAGCAGTGGGGGCGCGACACCGCGACCACCAGGGCTGTCCACCTTTCGGTTTCACTATTTTCTTGTCATCTACCACGCCCCACTTGCTCAGTTCATGGCCCCTCGGAACCTTGCCATGCCGAATTCGAATGGCCCTCCCGACCCCATGCTATCCCCCTATGCGCCCACGCTCTGTCACTCACTTGCTTGTCATTGTCAGGTCCTTCATTCTGCGGTACTTAGCCCAGGGCATCATCCCTCCCGGCGGTCCCGTCCTAGTCCTTTGTTTTTTCTCTCTCTCTTGTCTCCTTTCTCCGGATTTCTCTGTCGTGCACAACTTGGCTATATACCGACTCTCAAGTGCCGGAACGTTATTCGGGATCCACAGGTCCCGACACATTCCCCCCACTCATTCGCGATGTCCTCATCTCGCACCAGTCTTCTGTCAGTATGGGGGGTCTAGAAGGATAGACGGGAGAGAGGGGTGGGATGTAATAGGTAGTTAGTTTGTCAGGGTCCTTTTTGTCTTCTCTTGTTCCTTTCCTAGGGTCTTTTCTAGTTTCCGGTCCTTGGGGCGGAGAGGGGTGCTTGGGGGGTCAAGTTCTCTTTTAGGCGCTTGTTCTAGCTTCTTTCGTCCCATTCATCACCCTTAGTACATCAAGCCTTTCGTCTCATTCATCACCTTTCATATATCAAATTTTCCGTCTCATTCATCACCCTTAATACATCAAACTTTCCGTCTTATTCATCACCCTTAGTACATCAAACCTTTCGTCTCATTCATCACCCTTAGTACATCGAACCTTTCGTCTCATTCATCACCTTTGGTACATCAAAAT